AGGGAGGCCTCGATCAGGAAAAAAAAAAAAAAAAAAAAAAAAGAGCAGACGTCTATTATCTCTCACAGTTTCTGAGGGTCAGGAGTCCGGGAGCTTAGCTGGACGGTCCTGGCTCAGGGCCTCTCAGGAGGCTGCTGTCAAGCTGTCTGCCAGGGCTGCCATCAACTCCGAGCTCAACTGGGACTAGAGAAGCCACTTCCCAGCTCACCCACATGGTTGTTGGCAGGCCTCTGTTCCTCACCAGCGTGGGCCTGAGTGTCCTGGTGACATAGGCTCTGGCTTCCCACAGAGCAAGTGACCTAAGACAGAGAGACTGAGCAGCAGTCTCAGAAGGGACATGCCATCGCTTCTGCAGTGTGCTAGTGATCACACAGACCACCCCTGGAACCATGGGAGGGACCCCGCCCCGGGCCTGCAAACCAAGGACAGGCACCTGCTGTTGAGACTGGCTGCAAATGTACAGAGCACGTTCAAGGAGTTTTCAGTCGACAGGCAGAAGTTGAAGTGCACATCTTGTGAGCTTCTTGCTGTCATCTCCCAAAGTCATCACTAAGCAGTGTGTAGCCTTGATTACAATGAAAATATCTAGCCAGTTGGAAAAATGGCAACCATTTTATGAATTATCTTTTTACTAATGGTAGCTCGATAAGATAGTAGATTTACTATAACTAACCAGAAGTTATCAACACTTGAGATGCAAAGAAAGTATCACAATATTAATAGTTAAGTTCATAATCCCTTACCCAAAACTCTTGGAGCCAGATACCTGTTTTCAGAATTCAGATTTTTTTTTTTTTATATTTTAGAAGGGAATCTACCATATATTATATTACATTCTAAGCAAGATCTAAGACAGCACCTACAAACAATATTTATAGAGCAAAATTTATGACTAGTCACACTATGAATATATAAATAAATGTACTCTTTTTAAGTGAAGTCTGTAATCAGCCTCCAGCCAGTTCAGATTAAGTCTGCCACCACATGAATTTACATCAAACTTACGAAAAAAGTTTTGGTTTTCAGAGCTTTTGGATTTGTGGAATTGCAGGTAAGGATAGGACCTGTAATACAGAGATTTAAGGGGCTGAGTGGCCATCTCCTTAGGAGCGCTGAAGTGAGGGTCCACTGTCATTATTGACAATATGCAAGCTACAGACTGGAGCCAGCTCCACATCCCTGTCAAGGCCTTTAATGCAGTAATCAGGCTTGGCCTTCTTGAGATTCTTGGTACCAAGCTGTTTGTATAGAGGTTAAGAGGAAGAGCAGCCCAGGAATTCCAAGGGGCATCTGCTATCTAGAGTGCTTCTTGCTGGCTTCAAGAGTAGCCCAGCTCACGTAAAGAATTTCCAGAAGGACAAAGAGAGACCCAGAAGAAACGGGTTCCGTGTTGTCTACCTCCAGAACCAGAAGCACAGGCTCTTCCAGGGCCAGACTTGCGATGGCTTCCTGACTGAAGTCAAATCAACACAGAGCTTTCCACTGTGATTCTACCCACTCCTGTCAGTGACAGGCTCACTGGGGAGCCTGCAGACTCTCCTAGAGGTCATGTGGAGTTAGACACCGTCACCCCGAGAGATCTGGGGCCCAACCCCCTGAATCACCACCTAGAGCTCTTTGGAAGAGACCCTGCCTGAGTTGGGACCACAGTTTTCAGATTGTCCCCCTTTGCTGTTCAATCAAAACAGCCCATCTCAATTTTTTAAGATTAGGGTGGTTGAGTGTGATTTTTCTCTGAAAGGAACATTCCCAAAGTTAAAAAAAATAAAAAAAAAAAAAGGAAGAAAAGAAAAGAAAAAGTAAATCACAGAGGTGGATTAAGTTCTCTATTCTATAAACGATCACTAGGACGGAGGAAAAGAGCCCAGTAAGTGCGTACTTAGCTCTGGGCAGCCCCCTCACGCACCTTCCGTCTCACGTTTCATTCTCCGTGTATTGAGTGCTCAGTTCCCACAAAAATCCCATAAGGTAGAATTTATTTTCTTATTTACAAATGAAGAAAACTGAGACTTAGATAAAATAACTTGCTTAAGGTCACACAGGTTAGTAAGCAGAGCAGCAGAACTCTGGCAGTTTGGGTTTTTTATTCAGAGCGACAAAATTTTAAAAATAGTAACTTACATTACAGCTTTTGTTAAATTGAGCACTAAACTAGGCATGGAATTCAAAGAGAAATTATAAAAAGTGATTTATGCCTTCAATTAGGTTGTAATCGAAGGAGACATAAGATCCACAGCAAAAAAGTAAAGAGTACATAGCCAAAGAAATACATCCACAAATGAAAATCAGTATATGTCTGGTGACAGACGGCTTAGAAACTGGATGGAGTGTTGGAAGTAAGATTAAGTCAGTGATTCTCAGCCTGAGATGCATTCTAGAATCATCAGAAGGGCTTTTAAAAGTTAAGTCAGAAATTCTGTTATTATTGGTCTGGGATGGGGCCCAGGCACTGGTATTTTTAAAGCTCCGTAATATAATATGCAGCATACAACCAGTGTTGGTAACCTCTGCAATAAGTAAATTATGGTGACACAGCTGAGGAGCTCAGGAAACAAACCGAAACTAGAAGGAAGCTGGGGGAGATCACCAAGGACAGGGCTTCAGCAGGCAGGCTTCAGTCTGTACCTCGTAGTTGTGCTAAAACCTCAACGCAGTCTCACAGTCCTTTTTTGACCAGTGATCTTAATATCACAGCTCAGCAAGATTAAAACATTTTTCAGTCAAAACTAAAGAATAGTAGGGAATGCTAAGAGTTTTAGACAGGTACTCACAATACCCCAATATTTCTAAGATTTTTTTGGGCATAGTGCCAGTCCTCCTTTGCTGTACCCCAACTCTAAGATCAAAATAGAGTGTGATTTTAAAGAAACTCACCTCATTTTTGTATCTCAGGCTTTTTGCCCTGTGGAATGAAAATGCTTCTCTTTTGTTCCTTTGTGTTTTTTATGACAATTCTCTACAAGTTAAGTGACAGTTATGCATCATCAGGTGGCATGGTCTTCACTTCTGGGAACTGTTCTATTCTGCTTCATCGTTCAGCACGTGTGTTTTGAGCACCTGCTGCATACCCAGTCCTGCACCGGGTCCTGCAGAGGCAAAGACCGTCCTTCTGTTAAAAGAATGGCAAGGCACATAATTACAATATAGGATTCAAATGCTCTGAAAGAGGTGATAGGAAGTGCTCTAGGTGCGCCAGGGAGTAGGAAAGAAAACTCACTGAGGCAGTAGCACGTGGGTGGAGACTGGAAGGATTGATCCTGTGGAATTGTCTAGCAAGCAGGGCAGCCTGGGCACGGCCAGTGAGAGCAGAGGCCAGCGGCCTGGTGAGTGCTGCCCGCTCACCCAGCAGTCCTGGCGGCTGGGCTCCGAGGTGGGCTTGGGTGTCAGGGTAACGCAGCTGGACCCACTGTCCATCAGTGAAGGGCTGTAAGCAGGAGGATGACCCCAGGGCAGCGGGAAGGATGGCTCGTCACCTCAGCAGTCTGTGCACTTTCTAGAGGATCGTCCCCTTCTGCACGTATAAAGTTTCACGATGTGCTGTAGGGTCATCTGCACAGAACGGCAGTGCATTAAAGAGAGAATTCTCTGGAGGAAGCTACAGTGCAAAGCGGCAGCCCATGCCCTCTCCGTCAGAGGGCTCACTGTCCTCGGGAGGCCTGGACCAAGGAAGTGACGCCCCGGCGAGGGACTACGACGCAGAGGTGAGTACCGCGTGGGCAGCACCTCTGTCTGGGGACAGAGGTTTGGAGAAGTCCTGAATGAGAAAAGGCGAGTGTGTTTCCCAAAGCTGGTCCACCGCCTTGAGCCTGGCCTCCGCTGCCGCAGGGATCAGCCACTCA